GCTTCTGATCAAGGCTGAGACATTGTAGCAAAAAGCCGGTACCAGCCGTGTGGTAAATACTGGACTGCTATCACTGTCAGACAACAGATTCCTAAAAGGGATTGGGTGTCTGAAAAAGCTCAACCCTTTCATTAATGGATGCCTCAATACTGATTCTCAGTGGTTACCAGCATTACAGAAACCCAAATAGCTGATCACATACTGTGTACGTGATCGGTCTTTTGGGCACTTTGTGGCGGGGACACACAGTTAAAGTATTGTCTTAAAGTGCAATGTCAGACCTTTTTTGCATGAAGTAGGGAAAAATTCAGTCTGGTCTTGATTGCCAACTGACTGTTCATGGAGGTTTCATCCCCCTTCTTATTCATTTTTTTGCCATCTGCCTATCCCCACTGGAAAATATTTTCCATTACTTGCAGTGTTCTTCTGACCCCCCATCAGCAGTACAAGGAATTAGGAACTCTACCCAGTATAAAACACAAAGAAGAAAAGAAAGAAGAAAAAAAAGAAATTGAGGCAATTGGTTTCAAGCAAACTATGCAGACTATACTAAGTTTTTTTTTCTTCTTCTTCTTTGTATCTCTATGGGTTGGACACGATGGACTTGTGTCTTTTTTCAACCTGACTAACTATGTAACTATGTAAAGCACACATACATTTTTTACTTTCAGTGATGTGCCTCCTTCAGAGACCTTCAGTTTACCATTACTAATACTCAGTTTTATTTCTATGTGTACACTTTCTACATCTAATGCTGCAGCAGTTGAGAGAAGAATTTACGAATGAAGCTTTAAAGTTGTAATAAACTTGCATAATTTGTTTCACTGCAACAAATAAATGTGTATTTTTTTTTAGGGGATCATAATAGCATTTCCTCTTCCTAACAGTCATCTATGGTTAAAGGGGACATGTATTTTTTTTAAAAAAAGGAGATTTGTGAGGGTATAGGGAACATCTTGAACTGTTAATTGTGCCTAAGTAGCACCTGGAAAATTGATTTTTTTTTTACAATCAATTCCTCCTAAAAGCAGCACTGCACATCCTTAAGTACAGAATCATAGCAGTACACTTACTAGCCAATGAGTTATACCTTGCTGGTACCAGTTTGGTCCCCATTTTGCCTTTAGAAATGCCACTAAACTCAGGAGTTAAACCTTAAAAATAACAACACACAGGGACCAGAGAGAACAAAAGCAACCACCCTCCAGAAGGAAGGACCCAGTTAGCACCAATTCAGAAATTTGAGTGTCTCAAAGTAGTCATCAGAATATGGGTACCCTGTGGTCACAAAAGGGATGGAACATGGTCAGCAACAATACTCAGGAAGGCTGTGGTATTTAAAACAATGCAAAATTGGTACTAAGAGGCCCAAAGTGTGCCAAGAAAATATCCCACCCAATATTACACCACCACCCCAGCCTGAACCGTTAATACAAGGCAGGATAGATCCATGCTTTCAACGTTGTTTACGCCAAATTCTGACTCGACCATCCGAATGTCGCAGCAGAAATCCAAACTTCTATTGTCCAATTTTGGTGAACCCTTGCGAACTGTAGCCTCAGTTTCCAGTTCTTAGCAGACAGGAGTGGTACCCAATGCAGTCTACTGCTACTGTAACCCATCTTCTTCAAGGTTTGACGTGTGTTCAGAGATGCTCTTCTGCATATCTCGGTTGTGAAGAGTGGTTCTTGTTGCCTTTCAATCAGCTTAAGCCAGTCTTGCCATTCTCAGACCTCAACAAGGCATTTTCACCAAGAAAAATGCAGCTCACTGGATAGCTTATATTTCAGACCATTCCCTGCAATCCCTAGAGATGGTTGTGCGTGAAAATCCCAGAAGATCAACAGTTTCTGAAACACTCAGACCTGTCCATCTGGTACAAACAGCCATGCCATGTTCAAAGTCACTTAAAATACCCTTCTTCCCCATTCTGATGCTAAGTTTGAACTTGAGCAGATTGTGATTAGTTGATTAGATATTTGCATTAACAAGGAGTGGAACAGGTGTACCCAAGAGTGGCCTTGAGTGCATATCCATACTGCTGCCTGTGATTGCCAATTTGACAGTCAAAATTAGGGAAAATCCCACTATGGGTTCCTATGGACACAGCATATCCAATTCTTTTTAAACATTACGTACCTTTTTGATGTGTGTGTAGCAGACGTTTACAAGCTTCTCTCTCAATTTCCATGTGGCAGGAAATTGTCTGTCCCCATACAAAGACTGGGGTCAGACCAAGCTTCCCCTTATTAACATACAATGCTTTTAGATCTTTTTCCTTCAAAGGATTTTATTGAGATCCAAGATAAAGATTCATGGCCAATGCAGTCATAACCATAGTGGAATCATAACTCAACAATCAAGTAGCATTTAAGGACTCAAGATAATTATGAATTTCTAGGGAATAGTGCAGACGGTAACATTAACAGCCTTGCAATCACAAATGGGAACAATTATGTTGTGTGAGAAGAGGTAAGCAAGAGAAAATGAAAACACACACGAACACAAAATCTGGAGCAGCTGGGCATGGCAAAGAATCAGCTTCTCTCTTTTTACCCAAGAGGAACCCGTATTTATGCCCTTTACATCCGCTTCAGCTGCACCGTCTTACTATACCGCGAGCAGCAGCTCGCGGTATACTGCGGCGTCTCAGTATACCGCGAGCTAGAGCTCGCGGTATACTGAGCCTAGGGTGACGGGAGGACGCTAGTTTGTGTCCTCCCGTTACCCTAAGGAGAACTATGGGGAAAAGCCTTAACCCCATAGTTCTCCTTTAAGATACATATTGAATACAGTAAATCTCTGACTAAACAATTGCAACTCCCTTCTCATTGGCCTACCTCTACACAGATTACACCAGCCTTCAGTCCATCTTGAATGCTGCTGTATTTATTCACCTCACCAACTGCTCAATGGCTCCCACCCTCCTCTGCCAATTCCTCTACTGGCTTCTGCTAGCCCAACATAAAAGTAAAAAAAAAAATATAAAAAACACATCCACAGCTGTACCCAAGTTACACCACCAACCTCATCTTAAAATATTATCCAAACCGTACACTCCTTTGCTCCCAGGACCTCCTGTTTTCTAGTCATCCTCTCCCATGTTCACCTGCAATAATTTTTTCAGAGCCTCTCCCATCCTCTGGAACTTCCCTAGTTTGGATATCTAGTACTAAGTCCTGTCCACCTATAGGCAATCTCTTCTCTTTAGAATAGCCTACCTCACCATTACCTAAAATCTGTACTTGTACTTCCACCATCAACTCAACCCTCAAAGTTATTACATTTTTTGTCACTTGCCCCTACCTTTTAGATTGTAAGCGCTCACAAGCAGGGTCTTCTGAATCCTCTGTAAATGCTATGCAAACTGTTAGTGCTGTATAAATCCTAAACAACACACAGTAGCACCACAAGTAAAGCCAACCTTTGCTGTCTTGCAGAGCTAGAAATGCCGCCATGACCTTCAGCATACCACAGTTTGCGCTGAGCCACAAGAATCACACACCAGCTGCTATCCAACTAGTGTAGAGCTGCAACAACTAATCGACTAAATCAATTATGAAAATAGTTGGTAACTATTGAGATCATTTTTTAAATACAACCAATCGATTCGTTAGAGAAAAAAAAAAAAACGTGTAACTAATCGATTATGAAAATAATCATTAGCTGCAGCCCTAAACTAGTGTGCCCATGAAGCTCTCTCAACAGCACCTACATGACAAAGTCATTTTTAGGGAAGTCACGTTAGACTAAAGTTTTATACTATAAAGAATGAAGTAGTGGTGGTCTTACATGGGGCAAGGATCACTCATACCATCAAGCAGCGGTCTACCACCTAGGTCTGCCAATTTTTTTTCTCTGTTTCAAATTACCAAAATGATAGATATCAGTAAAGCAGCACTATACCCTCCTATCCATTACACCCAAGAAAAGTGCCATCTATTGGATTGCAGTTGCCCCGGCGCTGCATATGTAATCATCTATGACACCATCCATTGAAGGGCTTGAAAGTTCAGTTGCAAGCTGGTTAAATTGGTGGCTAACAGCGCCTGCAGCTATTAGAGACTATTCTCATGTAATCGAACATGCAGGGATTACCCGCCTATGATCACCACTGAATGCAAACCGTTTGTGTCCAGAGGTAATCATCCACAGGTAAACGCTGCACGTTTGATTACATGCGAATGGCTGCGGGCACTGTCAGCCTCTGCTTGCTTTTTATAGTGCATACCACTGTACATAAAACACAGCTGAGTGTCACGAAGAATTTGGTGAGACTGCTCCAAACGCAAGTGTGAATGGGGCCTAACTGCTGCAACTAGAAATTGGAATCCCCATGGCAACAAGAATCCAGACAGAACTTCAGCAGGCAAGCTTCTGCTTGCATCATTTGCCCCTCCTTTTAGATTGTAAGAGTTAAGATTCTCTCACAAACAGGACCCTCGTATATATGAAATTGTATTGGAACTGTTCTGTATCCCCTTGTTTCGTAGAGCTATGCACAAACTGTTGGCAATATATAAATCCTACTACTAATACAAAAGTCAGCATCCACCCATAACAAAAATAGTTCAGCATACCTTCACCAGTACAAAGCCAGGTCTAGCTGAATAAAGTGCAGACTCTATAAAACCAAAAATCTAGTTATTGTATCCAGCCACATGACCTTGCTTGCATCAGAGTAGCCTCTAGGAGAACCTGCAACTTTACTACGTTTAGTGATATCAAAGTTGAGATTAGTGCAAAGATTACTGTTACAAGGGTAGCTTTCAAGCAATGAGAAAGAGAAAATTGATTTTATCACTTACATCTATTACACTACTGACTCCAAATTTGAAGAAAAAAAAAACTATTCTAAGTATTCCCGCCCCCTAATTAACAATGCACAGAATGCTGCTAGAAAATGGCTGCTGTAATTTTCAGCTAACGCATGCAGAACGGGACAAACAATGCAGCAGCGTTAACAAGGTGTCACATGGCCACGCTCACTGAAGCCCCACCTACCGCTTGTGAAAGGGAGAGGGCGCTGCGCACCATTTTCTTTCCTTCCCAGAGCAGGCGCCATCTTGAGTACAGCGAGGAAACCGATAACAGCGCGCTTATATCACGATATAGCGCAACTAAAACGCTGATACGAGGGAGAACTTACCTTTGACGATTTTGCCAGTTCCACCGAACAGGAGATCCACCGGAACCGAAAACGAAGCGTTTTTTTCGCCGCCGTCACAGAACCACCTTTCTGCAAGCCTTCTTCTTCCCTCGGCTTCTCCAGCTCCGGCATTCAAACGCGAACGCCGAATGCTCCGCCCACTTCTAGACCCACGATCACGTGCCTAGCGTTATGCAAAATAGGGGCTTATGGAAAAATACTGCCGATAAGTAACGCCCACATTTAGCTGCCCTTCCAACATGGGGTTATGTTTATACCGGACGAGCGTTGAGATTATTTAAATGAGCATCAAAATGGACTGACGAGGGTAGAAAGGTAGGTAGCTCCGCCTTGTCACGTGTGCCTGACAATTGGCAGGGTGAGCCACAAAACATATTTGGTCGATGTACAGAGAAGCAATGTAACTTTGAATGCATATACTAGCCTATGTGCTTTAGAAAGGAGAGCACTAATGAACCTGCAATTATTAGAAGTAGTTTTTATTGCCAGGACACCCACACTTATTGGGTGCTAAAAGGAACACTAGACTGGTATTGATGTCTTGTAAGTTTAATACTATTTTAATGTATTTTGTGACATGGAAAAATCATTGATAAAAATAGTTATGTTTGGTTATCATTTGAAAACTATGTGTGTGTTTTCATTGTGGCGTGATAAATTTTGCTAAATAAAAATATCAAATCCTAAAAATGGTTGAGTTTTATGTTTTTTTTGTCTAAAAACTTGTTTACGCAATTTAACCGATATGGGCCACTGTTTTTGATCGTACTTTTAATAATATGAATTTAATATGTGCAAAAGATCTACCTCCATAAACAGGTTTCAGGGAAAATATATATATATATATTTATTTATTTTATTGCATTTTTGTATTTCTTAATTTTGCCATTATGAGCCATTAATTTGCAGGTCATAATTAAAGTGACACTAAACTCAGGAGTCAAATATTACAAATGCATTCAAGTACCTTAACTATTAACAAAAATGTATATTTTTGTGTATCACTCAGCTGTAGATCCTCAAATCATCTCTGAATTGGTGCTGACACTGTCTTTCCTTCTGGAGGGTGGCTACTTTTGTTCCCCATGGTCCCTCTGTGTGTTGCTCCAAGCTCCCTCCCATGATAGACTACAATAGTTTACTAATTTGCATAGAGATTATAGTCCATTGTGGGGGCGAGCTTGGAGCGGTGGCTACTTTACAACACACACAGGGACCATGGGGAACAAAAGTAGCCACCCTCCAGAGGAAAGACAGTATTGGCACCAATTCAGAGATTTGAGGATCTAAAGCTGGGTGATACACACACACACACAAGCTACATTTTGTTTTGTTAATAGTTAAGGTACTTGAATGCATTTTTAAGATTTTAACTCCTGAGTTTAGTGTCACTTTAATAAAGTGAATTGTAATATGTGCAAATGATCCACCTCCATAAACAGTTTCCAGGTAAAATATATATTTAAGAAAAAAATCATTTTTTTGCACACACATATATATATAATCATTTTTTTGTTTCCTAATTTAACTAATATGGGTCATATTTTTAATAATATGAATTGTAATACATGCAAAAGATCCACTTCCATGAACAGTTTCCAGGGGAAATATATATATTTTTTAATATACAATAAGATTAATGAATATGATTTTTTTTATTACCTAAATGTAACTTTATAGAAGAAAATCTCAGCTCATGGGCTTGTGAAAATATGGAGACCAGCACATGTAGGGCTCTCGTTAGATTTGATCTAACATTTAAAGAGTCCCTATCGCTTTGTCAACTCAGAACAAAGTAATCATATCTGCCATTAGTCCTTTCCCCAGCAAAGTATGATCCTTCACTGTGTTGCTGTAATAAGGCGGGGCTTTCGGGCATGGGGGAGCATGTGACCTTCCCCTATGTAACCGTGCTTGGGCCTGAGCAGTCAATTGCCAGGCCCATATGCTGTCACATGGTGTGGGTCAGTGACATCATCCACCAGAGCTTACCCTAGGTGGACCTGTAGATGGAGCATGGGTGGCAGGCTGTCAGCAGAGACATAGGGGTTAATTTACTAAAGACAAATAGGCTGTTTACTCTGGAAGATAATTTTCTCTTAGCTCAGTAAATAAGGTGACGTTCTGTTGACTTCTATAATCCAATCATGTGCATGCAAAAATACTGCTTTCAATTTTATTTCCATGTGATTGGGTGTTCTAATTTTCACCAAGGGAAAATGATCTTGCAATGTGAACAGCCTATTTAGCTTTAGAAAATCAATCCTACTGTCTCTTTAAGCAAAATTTCCCAGCAGCTGTGTAATGTGTGGGACTTGCTAAACAACAATCTTGGTAAATTTTAGCCCATCAGATAAACCCTTGCACCACACAGTTTTGATGAATTTTGTAGAGCTAAACGCCTGACGTTGTGTGGCCAGATTGAATCTGCAGGTTGACACACTCTTGTCCTTTACTGTGCATTCTGCAGTGTCCTCATGGCTCACCCATTTTTTTATTTTATTTTACAGTTTGCTGTGGGGTCAAAACTTACAGGGCCCAAATGAGAATTGTTTTCCTTTTTATTGCTGCTTTATTGACATAGTAATAATACAAATGTACAGATGTATCGATGATAGGTATTCTAACTATTTTATGTGGCAGCAGTAGTGTTTAGGCAGGAGCAATGTTTGGACAGGTTGGCATCGAACTGCCAAACTGTAGAATACTGCAACACCTTCAGAAAAATATCCAGTGCCTGTAGGCCACTAAATTATATATTGTCAAGCCTGCGTGTGATTAAAATGTGTATAAAAACACTGATTAACTCATATTTAAATGCTAGGGAGAACCTTACTTTTTACAAATATTTAATTTTTATTTCATGGGCTATACAAACCTGACTGGGCCTGCATTTTTTTTACACTATGTCCATACATTTTGAGAGGGTTGGCAACCCGAAAAGGGGTCCCCCGATGTACAGGAGAAAAATGAGTTCTGGAATCTCCCTACTCTGATTGTAATAGCCAGTTATTCACAGTGCAGCTTACAGCTGCCATTAGAGAGGCAGGCAATGTTTGCATAGAAGTCTGAAGACTTTTTTTTTATATATATATTCAAGTACTGCCCACATAATGCCAGACTCTGAGAAGATTGTACATACTGATTAATACAAGAAAATTAGAATGATAAAAGTCTTAGGTAAAATAAAGTAAATCTCTAAACAAATAAAACCTTCAAGCAAATGGGAAACAATTACAGATTTTTGTTTGGTAAAAATGTGGAGTTTATATGATGTATATATAATTGTAGTAATGATGAAATATTTTTTCAGTACATAAAAGTTTACTACATATTTAGCAGCCATTTCCAATTGACTTAGCTGATTTTTTATATATCGTCTAGTATTTGTAAATAGTAGGGATGTTCAGATACCAAGTACCGTAATTGGTACAAGTACAGGTACTTTTCCAGCTCCAAGACTAAACTAGAGAAAAACTCAAAAAAACTTTGTACCAAAATAAAGTGCCAGCAAAAAAATAAAAGATTGATGTAGACAGCCAAACCATCAATAACTAAGAGCTGCACATGTCTTATACAAGATCCTTATTTTGGTCATCTTGTGTGCCATTAGACTTTTGTGTAATCATTTTTTAACATCTTTGTTGCCCATAAAGATAAGTCTGTAAATGATTATCACATTTTTATACTTCTACCAAAATCCAGGTTTTCTACTATTTTGATGTCCATATTCCCATCATCCAGGATCCAATCATATTTCAAATTTATTTTACATTACATTTGTAGTGTTAAACTCTAATGCTAGAGCTGCTTAGGAAATTTTAAAAGCTTAATCACGCTACTAAAATTATTAGTGATTAATCAGTAAGAATTGCAGGCAATCACTATACAGATGGAACAAATGACCACTCATGGTGTAAACTACACAAATAACATACATTAGCAGTTAATCTCACCTGATTGCGCAATGCTGGTGTAGTAATCAATTGGTACTTTTAGCAGTTAAGCGCTAGATAACTTAGTAGCACAAAAGCTACTAAAAAATCACTTATGCCGCCTTAGACTTCTAAACTTATTTCACTAGTTTGCCCAGTTGCCACTTACACACACTTTTTTTTCTGACAACAGTTCACAAATTGCATGATACTTACAGCATGTTTAAGAAGGTTAGGAGATATTGTGGAGAATACAAGACCACTTGGTATGAATGCCTAGAATTTTTTTTCTTTTCATTAATGTATACTTAACCCTTTTGGCGTGATAAACATGGCCCATTCAATAAATTGTCTGCAGGTAGTATATGGTGGCTGGCCTTGAATGTATGATTTAGCCACTGAACTATTTTTTCCTTAAAGGAGAACTATGACATGAGTGATTTCCACTCACCTCATAGTTCTAAGCCGACGTGTGACAATGAGACTGTCACAGGTCGGCTCAGTAGATCGGGAGGTGAGGGAACACATACCGGGTTCCCTCACCTCTCGATCCTGTCACGGCTCTCTGCCGTGACAGGGGGAGGGGCTGGATTCCCCTCTCCCCGCACCGATCTGCCCATAGTTCTCCCGTTACCCTAAGCTCTGTCACAGGTTGGCTTAGAACTATGAGGTGAGTGGAAATCACTCATCTCATAGTTCTCCTTTAACAAGATTGTTGAACAGACATGATTTTCAAGGCAATAGCAAGCAAATATTCATGATTTGGCCAAAAAGGGCGGGAGGGAGTGTGTAGAATAATAGCAATTAGCTGCAAAAATCCATGTTGGCCAATTGCTTTGATCAGCCAGCCAGAAGATGTGGGGAGACCTACGATTATTGCCTAATCCATGTTGATTTATTAAGCAACCCCACACATCCAGTGCAGGTGAAAAGGCAGTGGTGACCCTACTGCATAATACAAAAAGGCCACCCTTCAACATAAAACAAAGTATCATCCAATCTAGTACCGTGTTTCCCCGAAAATAAGACACTGTCTTATTTATTTTTTTAAAGCAATGGAATCGCAAAATTATTATATATTGGCAGATAATTTTAGGATTGTAAAAAGACTGATAAATATACTTTGACTCTGGCAGACACATACTGACAAATATTAGAACTTGTATATATAATATGTGAATATATACATTTCATACAGATTACAGTTATTAGCTATACATAGAAACAATGCTTTTAAAACATTAGTACATACTGATAGGATAATAGCATGATATTCTACCTTCTCTCGACTCTCTCGCTAGATTAAAAATATTTTAGAAGGGCCTGTCTCTAAAGAAAAAAGTTAATACCTGTTACACTGCCTGCGCCTGCCTGACATTTTCTCTCAGCTGCGTTGGATGCCTGGCCCTCTGCTGCTCTCTGTGGTTCCATCTGCA